CATACTATCACTCTGTAGCTTTCATGCTATGGAGATTATAAATATCATAGAATTAGTGTAGAGCATTAAGATAAACAGTCTTAGGGAAAAGGGAAGGAAAAAGAACACAGATATGCTATTTTACTCTCTTAGTATCAGCATTAATGTCTTCTCTAACATGGTGTAACATTATTTGGCTCCTGGGTAGTTGTTTTTTTAGTTAATACTATATTTATCAGGACTTCAGTTTCTTCCCACCCGATTAGCAGCACCCACATCACTGGAATCTAGGAAGGAGCTAATGTATACTGAAACCAAATTTGATGCCTAGAAAATCCTTGAGTTGTTAAGAGGCACACCTGTGTTGTTTGGCAGGTGAGTTGAATCTCAAGAATTTCTGCAAATTTCCTGTTTAGTCAGCTAAACTGGTTTCACTCCTATTGAACAACCCTGGGGGGGTCCTCTATTTTTTCTTAATAACCATAATAATGCCAAAGAAATAACTTCCAATGCTAATCTCAGTGATTTAGGTCTCAAAAGTGGAAAGGTTCAGAATATATTTCAGGACGTTAGCTGCCTTCATGTCAAATTTATTAATTTATAGATAAATTAGCATTTTCATATTGGAAAAAATCTAGTTTTTTTGTAAAGACCAGATTATTGTTAATTAAGATATTACTTTGAATAATTTGGAGAAGTAACTTTCTAGCTGTATTCACCTTATATTCAAATTAAGGATAGATTGTCCCGAATAATTAAGTAAAAATTTCAGTGAACTGAATCCTAAAGAAAATAAGGAAACATTTATCAGTGGAAAGGTACTCTGTAAATGGGTTTGCAGATTAACTGCAAAGGTTATTTGGGACTCTATAATCTTAAAGTGAAACAGGCCATTTATTTAGAGATTTTAAAAAATCTCTATTCAGTCTGTTTTCATTTTCTAGATATTCTTATGTTGAATTACGTTTTTGTCTGTACTATGTACTATGTTCAGGTTTCTTCTGACTAAACAGGTTTTGAAATGCTTGCGACAGAAGACATTTTAAAATAAATGCTTGATTCATTACATAATATTCTTTAGGTACTAAAGGAAGTTAACGTTTTCATCTTTTGGTCAGGCATTTGTGGGCTCTAAAATAGAACTTTTTGGCAATTATGCTGTAGGTGCCAGGGAAGAAAAAGAAAAGAGTTTAGGTTGTCCAACCTCATACAACGGACAAAGGATAAAAGTAAAAGAAATGAATCAAATCCACAGGCGTGACGACCCTAGTCTGTTTCAGCGGGCAAAGGAGCTAATAGTGCTGTCATCCAGGTCTTAATTTATGGATCCCTTAAGGTATTTTCAACCCCTTTGAAGTTGAAATTGTGGGCTATGGTGTCTACAGTAAAAGAATATTTCTTTTTTCAAAGTTTTCAACCAAGAGATTAATAATCTTTCTCTCTATAATGCACACCATCTGCTTTACTAAATAAACACTTTATATGCATATATATGCATCTCAGCCAGTCAGAGCTGTGGTTCCCAGCCAGATTATACATTAGAAGCTTTGGAAAACTCACTCCCAGAGCTACCCCTAGAGATTCTGGGCTTAAATGATCTGGTGATGCAGCAGAGAGAGAGAAAGTCTTTCTTGGAGTTCTAAGTTGGAATTCCGAATTTATTTCCTCTGGAAACTATGTTGCAATGGTGATCTGGGTTTATGGATTTTATTTTAAGATTTATTTATTTATTTTAGAGAGAGACAGAGAGAGTGAGCCCACATGAGCAAGGGGAGGGGCAGAGGGAGAGAGAGAATCCACAAGCAGACTCTCCGCTGCGCATCAAGCCTGCACAGGGGCTCGATCCCAGCACCCTGGGATCATGACCTGAGCGGAAATCAAGAGTCAGCCACTCAACTGACTGAGCCACCCAGGCACCCCTGGGTTTATGGATTTTTTTTTTAAGTACAATAGGGAAAGCTACATAATCTGTTAAATAAACATTCAGGGGCTGGTCTAAAACACCAAACCATTCTTCATAGTTCTTTCTTTAAAACAAACAATGAGTTTTTGGTTCCAAACAATGAAATTTATAACCAACCTATTGAAAAATTAGAAACTGCTTGAGTCTTCAGAGTCACAATACTATACTTTTTATGTGTCAAAAGTGACTCAGGGTTTTGTCTGGGAAAAAAAAAAAAAGAAAAAGAAAGAATCAATAAATCTAGTGAGTACCTACCAGGAGGAAGACACAAAGAGACTCTCAAACAAGGCTCGAAATAAAGTACAAAACCAAAATTTGTGCAATTTTGAATTTTAGGAAACTCCATAGGGAATGTCCTGGTTCATGACTTTTTGTGTTTTCTGAATAGTAAACTGCTTTAGAAATAAGCATATCAGTCAGAAAAGAATATGGCAGAGAAATAATAGTGGAAATACGCTGGAGGGCAAGAAATGAGATGATAAAAGCTTGTTAAAAAGGCAAATCGTACAAAAGAATAGTGGATACTTTGTAGTCTATAGTCAAAGGTGATCAATTTGAATGGCAGCAAAGATGAGAAAGATGAGGGGTGCCAGGTGCTTCCCAAACTGTTTTTAACCTTGACACACCAGGATAAGGTGGGACCAAGAGCAGTATAGAAATGGAACCCATATGCACACAATCTTCACCCTTATTCCCATTCCTATGAGGCATGACATGACCATGCACACACAACACAGTTCCCTGGGCTGTTGCATGGCTCAAGAGTAGGACTTACCCTGTGTTGTCTCAGCACAGATGACAGCATTTGGGTGGAAGAAAAAGAGACAGGTTTGGGGCGCCTGGGTGGCTCAGACAGTTAAGCATCTGCCTTCCACTTGGGTCATGATCCTGGGGTCCTTGGATTGAGCACTGCATCAGGCTCCCTGCTCAGCAGGGGTCTGCCTCTCCCTCTCCCTCTGTGCTCTGTCTCTGAAGTAAATAAAAATCTTAAAAAAAAAAAAGAGAGAGATAGGTTTGAGTTCATTATACAGAAAAACTTTCTAAAAGGCTGTCAACACAATACAAAACCAAACCAGAACACATGCACTGAACCTCATGGGGCCGAAGTTTTAGCATGAACCGAATCTCAAGAATATCTCAAGAAAGGGGTGCCTGGGTGGCTCCATCATTAAGCGTCTTCCTTCGGCTCAGGTCATGATCCCAGGACTCTGGGATTGAGCCCCGCATCGGGCTCCCTGCTCAGCGGGAAGCCTGCTTCTCCCTCTGCCTCTGCCCCTGCTTATGTTCCCTCTCTCACTGTCTCTCTGTCAAATAAATAAATAAAAATAAAATCTTAAAAAAAATCTCAAGAAATAGAATCATTGGGCCGAGTGTGGAGTGTGTCCTAATGGTCTCGAATGGTCCTTCCAAATGTAAATTTTGATGATTCTATAATCCAACCTCCTCTTTTCTTCACAGACATCTAATCACTTCCGATTTCATTCTGCACCCATTGGTTAAAACAAAAAGTGACAAGAGCACACTTATCGTGATGAGCACTGAGCAATGTATAGAATTGTTGAATTCTATATTGTATACCTGAAACTAATATTAACACTATATGTTAATTACACTGGAATTAAAATAAAAATATATAGATATTAGAAAAAAAGTGACAAAGAGGAATTGAGAAACTCTTCACAATGAGTGAAAGTGTGAAACACAGGGGTAGCAACTAGCTTTATTGTAGAGGACTGATTTATAGGTTTTAGACCTTTGGTTACTTTTGGCAAGAAGTGAATCCTGAAAGCTCATACCAAGAACTGCAAGAACTTTAAATGGACAAATAATAACCCCACAGTAAAGCCAATGTCTTTGTTCTGTCATTTATGCCCAGATTTGTGACCTCAGAAACTGAAAGGACACCTTGATCTTTATGCTTAACTCGACACAGCAATGAAGAAATGAATGAGTTTATTCTTCATTTAGGTGCAAAAGGTGGTAGTTCTAAAAAAAAGTAGAACAAGATGTGGAACAGTTTCCACTGTGATAGAGCCATCAGCTGATAGAATAGACTCACAGAACTGGGAGCCTGACGGGACCATACAGGCAAAATGTCTTTAAATGCACGTCCTCCGCTTAGTGCATTAGCACAAGCTATGTGGCTGGAACATTCAAGATCGAAATTGCAGCGAAGGCTCCGATGGAGCTTGTGCTCTGCATACGCTGATGTCTTGAATTTAGGCCTGTGCCACACACCTCTTTACAATGACTCTCTGCATATCACGGGGCCAAAAAGAACTGCAGGATTTTAGGGCAAGGCCGATTTTAAGCCCAGAACTGCAGTCATCCCTCCGTGACAGACTGAACAGGGTCACGCAAACGAGCATAGCATGAAAACCTTTAGAGTTCAGGCCGTGTCCTTTCGGAGCTCACAAAAGGCTTTTTCTTTTTTAAGATTTTATTTATTTATTTGACACAGAGAGAGAGAACACAAGCAGTGGGAGGGGAAGAGGGAGAAGCAGGCTCCCCGCTGAGCAGGAAGCCCGATTTGGGGCTGGATCCCAGGATCCTGGGATCATGACCTGAGCCGAAGGCAGATGCTTAGCAACTGAGCCACCCAGGCGCCGCACAAAAGGCTTTTTCTGCTCTGTTTTTACACTCTAGAAGCCAAGCTATTTGCCAGGGGTAGGGCTAGGGAGGTGGAGGGGTGACGGTGGGGGCGGGACGCAGCAGATTGTCCACGTCCTGCTGCCAGTCTGTCCAACAGGATAGCAGCTCTCCACGGTCCCGGCCCTGAGATACGGGGGCTGGGGGCGAGGGGCACGCAGGCCACATTTCCCCCGACCGCGGGCGCCGGGCCAGCCGTTTGGAGAGAACCCGGGCAGCGAGCCTAAGAGCTCCCCGCCAGCCCTCTCGGCCCAGGAGGGAGCGTCCTGGACTCGGGCCCGTGCGCGCCCCCTAGCGCCGGTCCGCGGACGGGGCGGGGCGGGGGCGGGGCGGGGGCGGAGCCCCGGGGCGGGGAGCGCGGGGGGGGGGGGGGGGGGGGGGGCGGGGCCCCGAGTGGAAGCGCGAGCGCGAGCGCGAGCGCGGCTGTAGCCGGCGGCATGGCGAGCACGGCCTCGGAGATCATCGCCTTCATGGTTTCCATCTCCGGCTGGGTGCTGGTGTCCTCCACGCTGCCCACCGACTACTGGAAGGTGTCCACCATCGACGGCACGGTCATCACCACCGCCACCTATTGGGCCAACCTGTGGAAGACGTGCGTTACCGACTCCACGGGAGTCTCCAACTGCAAGGACTTCCCCTCCATGCTGGCGCTGGACGGTCTGCATCCCCTCGGCCCCTGCCCCCAGCCCTCGCTCCTGCCCGGCAGGCGGGGTGCCCGGACGCGTGTCCGTCGGGGGCGCCTGCCGGAGCCCGGCACCCCGGGGCGGGAGAGGGGGACACATCTGGGTGGGGTGGGCGACTCAGGCGTCGGGGGGCGGCGGAGGGAAGCACCTTCGCAGTTCTGAGAGTCGAGGACATGATTGCGGGATCCCCATCTCTCGGGGACCGTTAGGCCACCGAGTCACGCTTGTCCCCTCACCCAGCACTCCCCGAATGAGCTGCGTCCTGATTAAAGTGGTATCATCGGCTTGTCAAAGCCGAATTTGCTTGTCCTCAACTCCCTTTAACCATTTTGTTAGTTGTTTTAAAAATAGGCAAGGGAAAAAGTGACATATTGCAGGGAGTGTCATCCCATTCCCACCTCCCCCCACCCCCCACCCAAGGGGAAAAAAAAGCAAAACAACCCCACGCTTCAACAAATGTGTCCTCCTGGGCTTTAATGCTTCTTCCAAGTTTTATGCAAATAAATAGCCCTTGCCTATGCTGCAGTGGGTAGAGAATGTGGCTAGCAAGAATCTTGTGCCAGAGACTGCCAAGGCCTGTGTCCCTGCCTCCCTCATCTGCTCTCCGGGTCTCCTGTTGTTCTTTTGTAGATTGCTTTCTGCTTTGTTCTTTTTAGTTGGGTTCTATATTGAATTGCATTAGAGCGACAGGTGGATGGTCACGTAGAAAACTGGCTCTGTGTTAGTTTCAAGAGAACAGTAGATGTCAACCCAGTTACAATGACTGCTCAAGTTCTAGGCTCATTTCTTCCAGGATTTTATAGCACATGACTAAATAGATCCCGGGGTAATGTTAAGGATACTCATTTGCCTTATCTCTAGTTTTGAGGTGTTTTCTTTCCTTCTTTTTTAAAAAAAAATTTGTTATTCCACTGCAGGTTTTTATTTGCATAGCTGATTCAATAAAAGACAAGAATTAATTCCCTTAAGATGGTGCTAGCCATGAAAAGCAAACTGTTGCTCAATGTGGTATTTGATAGGACCTCCATATAAACAGGAATATGTGCCTGGTTTTAGATGGGTGACACCCAGGTCTTCGTCCTGTTGTGTAAAAGAAGTAGCTGGGACACTGTTGATCCCTTAGAATTACTGTTGAATTTCCTGTGGTCTGTAGAGCACACATTCAGGTAGATGCTCTGAACAGGCAGGCTCTTGTTTCTGTGGTTTACATTCAGGAATTTGGGATTGATGATTACTGTCCTAAGTGCATTCTTCTGCTGTTAACTGTGTTGTTACCTGAGATAGTGTGCCAGGTACGTCAGCTTCCTTCTATAAGACAGCTGGGGCACGAAAGAGAGGAGTGAAAAATAAATGCTCTGTGAAGAGTGATGGGGTGCAGAATGGCGAAGTTGTCACATTATGTATCCGAGGTGAGACTGAAGTTGGCAGGGAGACTTGGGGGAAGGTCAGGTAGTGAGGAGGGAGGGGGGCATAGCCCTCAATTATGAGGCTTTGGAGAGAGTTGAGGATGGAGAAAAGAAAGGAGTGACATTTATGTACAACCCAACTTGCAAAATGGCCTTTCATGTGTGCTCATATGTCTAGAAAATGACTTTAAAAAACACAAATGACTTCATACTCCCTATTGTTCTACAATGTTCTAAAAGTAAAAACATATCTTTCCAAGCCAAGACATATAGAAGTAACTCTTTTTAACAACTGCATAGTATTCGTAAGTCTGGACAAACTGGTTTGTTGAACCACTTTCTCATTGTTGGACAATGGACCCTTTCTAGCATTCCGTTGTTAGTGCTGTACTGAAAATCTTCATATTCATCTTTTTGTGCACATGTGTATTTCTGTAAAGTAGATACTGAGAAATGGTACTGTCAGGGCAGTAGATGATACATTTTAATGTTCAGTTTATACTGCCAAATTACAGTCCACCAACAACATATGAGAATGCCTGTTTGTCTGCATTCTCACCACTGAGTTTTTCATCCAGCATCATGGGTGACATAGTATCATGTTATCATTTTCATTGGTATTTCCCTAGTGTTTACCAGTGATTTTTACCATCTTATCATGTATTTATTAACCACTTTCTTTTTCTTTCAGACATTGCCTGTCTATATCTTATGCCCACAGTCTGTTGTTTCCTCTTAATATAAATGATTTTTTTTAAGATTTTATTTTTAAGTAATCTGTACACCCAGTGTGGGATTCAAACATACAACCCCAAGGTCAAGAGTCGCAGGCTCCACCGACTGAGCCAGCCAGGCACCCCTACGTGATCATTTTTAAGTTTATTTCTCTATCCACGTAATCTCTGCACCCAGCGTGGGGATCAAACTCATAACCCCCGAGATCAAGAGTCTTCTGACTCTGAGCCAGCCTAGTGCCCATAAATGATTTGTCTTTTTTTTTTTAATTCTGGATGTCAATCCTTGATTTGTTATATATGTTGCAATCTCAGCCCGTTGCTTGTCTTTAAATTTATGATGCCTTTTCTTATACAAAACTTTAAATTGTGTACTGTGATCAGATTTATCAGTTTCTTCCTGCTGCGTCTGCCTTCTGTGACTTAAGACGGCATCGCCTAACCCAAGGTGATAAGCCTTACTTTTCTGTGTCTCTCAGAATAACATTTTGGGGGGCTTAATCACACAACTTTGTTTTCACGTAGAGAGGAGTTGATCCCCCCTCCTGTAAGTTGACCTTCTCAGAGCAGGCCCCTCTGTCAGCTCTCTGCTGTGTTCCCCAGGACAGGTGCATCTTTTGGATGCTGGTTCTGAAGCAGGTGCAGCCAACATCACACTGCACATTGGACTTCCTGGCACTACGCTGAAGTGGCAGAGAAGGCTGCATTACTGTAGGCCTTGGTGACCACAGGCCTGAGCAAGCCAGTCCTCCCCTTAAACGAGGCAGAAGCTCTAGACTAAAAAGAGAATGCAAGAAGGAAGAGAGAAGGCTCACAGCTCTCTCTAGTCTTAGGGGGAAGAAGGAGCTTCTTGGATGCAGATGATGGAGACATTTTTCCGAATTTTCTACATGAGGTCAAAGCTCCGATTCCTTATCCTCAGGGGGTTATCATTGTAACCCCCATTTTCCCTATAAGGAAAATGAGGCCGAGAAAAGCTAAATGTGTAGATTTAATTTTATGTTAAGACACCAACTCCAAGTTCTGCTTAGAATCCATCTTAGTATGATAGAGGGAAGCTTTGGTGAGTTTCTTATCACTCACCAGACACTGTTTGTATGGTTCATCCTTTGAAGGTAGTGCTTTCTCCCTGTTTTACAGATGAGTACACTGAGGCTCAAGAGAGAGAAGGTCATGTAATCAGGACACACAGAAGGTAAATAAGTAGAAGATCCAGAGCTGAGCCTCAGAGTTCATGCCTTCCTCCCGTTCCACTCCTCTTTCAGAGGATTTGCAAAAAGTACACAAAGCTACCTGCATAAGAAAAACACATTGTTTTTTCTCCCCTTTATCCAGCAACTCACTCTGGCTGCTACTAGGGAGTTGTCTCCACCAAGTGGATGTTTTCATTTTTGCTCCTTTGAAATGGAAAATAAGGCACACACCATTTGGAAATCACTTAACTTTTAAGGGACACCTTGAAGGTTTCCTCCAACGGAATTCATTAATTTTAAAGTCCCTGTATTTTACTAATTGAAAATTTCACAGTTGAACAAGCTAGTGATTTCTGTTTATCTCCAGCTCCTATTCCTTTCAAAGCACTGCGTGAACTTCATCTAAGAATCATTTTCAACCAGGTTGTTTTTAGTACGTGCCATCTATTTTTGTTAGTGGGAATGTTTCTTCCAATTGAGTTAACTATAAATTATATGGCAGAGAACTTCTAAGTAAATATGTTCATGCCTCAGCACTTTAATGTGTTAATTAGCTATTAAAGGTGTCAGTAAATTAGACCTGTCAAAAATAATGGCCTCCTTGACTAGGTTTTTACTACCACTTCACTTGATGGTGTTACTTACAAGTTTTGCCCTCTGGGACATTTAAAAAAAGCAAGGTTGTAGAGGTCAGCCTTGCAAAAGATAAACTCTTGAGTTTGTTGGAAGTCACCTAAGCCTGTGTCTGTGGGTGTTTTAAGGACTGGTAGCCCCGAATTTACACAACCGAGGCTTCCCAACACTGGGATTCCGTCTACAGCCGACAGCCAGGGGGTGCTTTACCCTGCGGAGAACCCCAATCCCTGTTATTTGTTCCCTGGTTCAGAAAATGTAGCCAGTGATTGTGCTGGTCAGGTGCCTTCCTTTGTGCATGCAGCAAGTTAGCAGGTTACTGCCGTTGTTGGAGGCTGGAGACAGGTAGCTTTCCTCCGGGTCAGGGTTCTGGTTGGTACTGAGGAAGGACCCGAGCACATCAGAAACAGTATTTCTCCCCTCCTGCTTGTGCCAGTAGACCAGTCCTGCTGCAGGCCTGAGGGCTGAGACAGGAGAACAGAGTGAGAACCTCAGAAAGAAGTATTATGGGTAAACGGTTGAATAAAGTTTAAAGACTACTGGTATTTTCATATTAAGTCATATTAAGGATTGAATGCCCCAGCCTGAGATTCTTACCACCATTTACATCTGGGAAAACACATTCCGTGTTCTAAATGATCTGATTGTGGGATTTAGCCTTTTGCCAGGCTCCTGCTTTTTCTGTTCACCAAGCCTGTACGATTACTAAAGTAAATGCTAAAGTTTTGTAGGATAATTTTTTATGCATATATTATAGAGGCTACCTCTCACACATGCTGTTTTGTCTGCTTAGTGACTGCAGTGAGTCAGCTAACAGACCTCCAAACCAGAGATTACAATAAATCTCCGGAAAAAATGAAACCGTACTATCCCAGGAGCTCTGGTGGTAAACGATGAGCCAGTTGTGTTTAACTTGATAGATGTTCTTTAATCTTAGGAGGGACTAAGTAACAGCCTTCCTATCTGTCTGTGCTTCTGCTTGCCCCCTGGGGTCTGGCTGGGGGACTGAGGGTTGAAATCTTTTAAAACACCTGGGTCGGGGGCGCCTGGGTGGCTCAGTCGTTAAGAGTCTACCTTCAGCTCAGGTCATGATCCCAGGGTCCTGGGATCGAGTCCCACATTGGGCTTCCTCCTTGGCGGGAAGCCTGCTTCTCCCTCTCCCACTCCCCCTGCTTGTGTTCCCTCTCTCGCTGTCTGTCTCTGTCAAATAAATAAAAATCTTTAAAATAAATAAATAAATAAAAATAAAAAACCTGGGTCAGTCTTTGGCAGCAGAGACCCAGATAGCCCTGCAGCATGATTATTGCTACCAAAATAAGCCTCCTTTATCCTGTTGTACTAATAATAAATTTGCTTTGCTGTTTTTGATAACCTTACAACCAGTAGAACTGCTTTGTCTCTGGAGGTAGTTCACGTTATAAAATAGATCATTGTCATTGCTGTCTACATTTGTGGAGGCCTAGATTTGTTGCAATTAAACAGAGCATCTTCTGTGTACTCTTCAGACTGGATCCTAGCAATAGGATTGAAACTTAAAATTTCATTTCAAAGGAACATGGGCTGGAGGCGACCTGTCAGCATCGTTTCTTGAATTTATAATTACTGGAGTCTTAGAATTGTTATTTATTGTAGACTTTGCCAGAACACTAACAGTAAATGACTCGCTGTATTTATGAGTTTTTTCAAATTAGAAAATTTAGTTCCATACGTAAGCCTGATGTACACTCATGTTCATTTACCCCACAAATGTTTACTTATGCCTGGTGTATGCCATCACTATTTCAGATTGAAATATGGCACTGTTTCAGGCTGAAATGAAAATGACCTTATGTGCTTAAAATTTATGGGTTTAAATTCTATCGCTTTAGAATTTGTTAGTGTCTGGACAAAAGCCACGTCGAAGTTTACCCCCACCTTGGCTCTGCAAATAAGAATAGGTGGTTAAGAAAATGGGTGGGGTCAGAAGATGATCAGACAACCCAATCGAATGAGGTTTTTGGGGGCTTGGAAAGCATCCATTTATATGTACACAGTTAATTTCATAACGATGGAATATTCCTTTAGTAAACAACCCTCCTTTTCTGTGTGCCCTGAAAATAATGAAATGTCATCAAAATACTTCCTGATTTAGACTCATCATGGTTTATCACGGGATTCCAATTGGTCTCATTTATAAGCTTTCACTAATATCGGAATGCTGTGCTGCCCAATTATAAATTTTATAATGTCAAAACCATTAAAACATCCATTTAAAAGGTCCAGCGTGCAAAGGAGTAGGAGGGTTGAGATAGTGGCAGACGATGTTTCTTACAAAGAAGGATTTTGTAGTCAGAACTGGGTGGAATCCGTTTCAGTCTCTTACTGACTCATCTCTGGTGTATCCTAGAACCTCTGCTGCTTCTGTGTCCTTAACCGTGAATGTGGGAATACCAACGCTTGAGGGATCTGTCCTGAGGATTATGCACACGCCGATCTCAGAAGTGTGTGACATAGAACAGGCAGGCAGTCCGTATAGATGAATTTGCTTTCCTTGCTTGCTTGTCTTACGATGATGGTTATTTTTTCAGAAAACAGGAGCGATCATTCAGAAGGACAGTGGAAAATGGGAATTTCTCCCTGGATAGCCACATGTTTTCTGTTAATGTAGATGACCTATTCTAATTGCAGGTTATATCCAGGCATGTAGAGGACTTATGATTGCTGCTGTCAGTCTGGGCTTTTTTGGTTCCATATTTGCCCTGTTTGGAATGAAGTGTACCAAAGTCGGAGGCTCAGATAAAGCCAAAGCTAAAATTGCTTGTTTGGCTGGGATTGTATTCATACTGTCAGGTAAATAGTAACTTTCTCCCAAACAAGGTACTTCACGATGTTAATGAAAGGACACTAACCATGATACTTTCCTTCTGATACTTTGTAGGGTTGTGCTCAATGACCGGTTGTTCCCTGTATGCAAACAAAATCACAACGGAATTCTTTGATCCTCTCTATGTTGAGCAGAAGTAAGTACTCTTCTCAGTCTGTCTGTTCCTAGCTTAACAGGAAATGTATGCAGATTAATCTTCCAAATTAAGATACATAAATTCCTTATACGGCGCATGAAAGTGAGACACGCTGAGCGATAGTATTTGATGACATCATTTCAAGAGTAAACATATTCTGTTCTGCATTGGCAAAAGATGCATTTAGTTACTGCATTGGTGTCACATAGCGTCTTGTCTCTAAAAAGCTCAAGGCACAGGATTTAAAATTCTAAACTTCGTCCACTGGACATCATTCAGTTCGGGTCAAGTAGAGGAAAAGTGGAAGTGAGGTGTGAAGGGGGGAGGAAAGAATGATGATGTGTGATAACAGGAAATGAAGGGCTGGCCTTGACTGATGTCCATCCAGATTGATATTTGTCAGCCTCTGGTATGTGGGCCAGAGTCCGTCATGGTTTCAAACACTGACATGGGAACTGCGACCATGCTCCTGAAGATTAGAGATCTGTTAATGACATCTCAATGAAGTATCATTTTTTTTCATTTTTTGTTAGCCTTTTAAATTAGCTCCTTGACAAGCTCCACCTGATAAACCTTTATTTTAAAAAAAAACTGTACATGATGCACGGTTTTTAAAAAATGCTTCTGTAGTGACATGGACACCACCCAGATGTGACCAGTCCGGGTTGCAGGGGAATGGTTCGGCATTTACAGGTCAGTCTGTTGGAGGTGTTTGTTTTTTTAACTATGGGCTATTGGTTTTTATACTTTCCCTAGGCTTCTTTCTTTGCCTTGGGAAAACCCCAGGGATACCAAATTAGAAATAATAATATATGCGGTATTTTGTCTCCCACGAGAATATACCCACCTACTTCTGTAGAAGCCACATCTGTATGCATGTGGATAGTTAGCAGCTGGTGCTCTTTCAGTCTTCAGGTCAAGTGTTACAGAATTTTTTTAAAAACTTACTAAAATTACTGGTTAGGTGTGCATTCCTTGTTTTTCTGGTGGATTTAAGAATCTTCAGGGAATTGATTTTTTAGTTCTGTCTTTAGTGTCTTTTATTCATAAATATTAGATGCTTATATAATGAAATAAATGAAAATAGTAGCTAAGACATGTTGAGCCCCTACCATTTACAAAGGGGAGCATGGCAAATATTCTATTCTTCTTTTATTTTATTTTATTCTTGCAACAGCCTGATAAAGTAGGTTCTCTTGGTACAACCTTTTTGAAAATGAATGTGTGCAATTAATGTGTGCAAGGGAACCTGGACTAAACCAGTATTGTCTGATTGGACTGGGAGCCAAACCAGGCATGCTTGCTCTATGATGCATGATTTACAATACTCGATTTCATAATTTTTGTGATCGTACGCTATATATATTTTTCATCGTGGGAGTTTCTTTTGTATGTTTTTAAAAACTATTTTAAATTTTATTAAATGGGAAGCAAAAATAACTGTTTTAGACCCCAGTATAATTTTTACTCCCCTGCCTATGATGGAAAAATGTGTTCTGATTTATAAATTTTCTCCTAACTAATGTTTGATGATGAGATTTGCACAAGTATACATGACACTGGACATTGAGATGAAAACTGAGACCATGCTCCTGAAGATAGGAAGCATGTTAATGATATTTAAATGAAATATAATTTTCCGTAAATGACATATTTTTATTTCAGATCCTAAATATACAATGAAACTGTTATTTCTCATGGTTTATTTTATTCAAGACATTGCTCACTTTTCTGGATTATCTGTTCTACATTGCTGTCTTTATTTTCCTGACAATTATTAAGGATGTCTTTGTCAGAATCTTAAAAATCATTTTTATCTTTCCTCAAAAGGTCAAGGCTAATTCATATATGCCCCATAACTCAAGTCTATCCTTTGTGTGATTTTTTTTTTCACTGCTTGCTATATGCTCAGTCACCTAATTCAGTTTGGTGCATTGGAATTTCTGATTTTCTTTTAGATTTTGATTAAACTTAGTTCAGTGATTATGGACTCAGAGGTTTTCCTCATTTCCATATTGTTGGTGCAACACTGAACTATCCCATTCCCCCTAATGACCTGTCGGCATTCCTCTCTCTCCCTATGCATGCTCTGTCTGTCTACAAGCTCATCTGTAAAATCAGGATAATAATGGCACTCTGCTGGTAGAGTTAATGTGGGAATTCGGAGAGAGAGAGAGAGAGAGAGAGAGTGTGTGTGTGTGTGTGTGTGTGTGTGTGTGTATGCTTAGAACTGATTGGAAAAGAGGAAACACTGTGTTCCCTATTACTGATTTGTGTTAGCTTTATTAAGATTCCTTTTTAAATTGTGTGTAGTAGTTAAGACGTGGCTTATCTTTATAGATGTTTTTATTAGCTCTTTTCTGAAGTGACTTAAAAATGTAACACCTGCAGTTTGGCAATTTACCTTATGTAATTAAAAACACAAGAGCGAGGCACTTTTTGAAAAACAACAGGGCTTATAAATCGGTGGTATTTACCAATAACAGGCCCTTCACACAACACACTGAGAGGAAATACAAACTTTATTAATTAAAACTGCTGCATGTTGAGAACATGTTAGCTCCTTGCGATAAGAGCTCACTCACATCTGCATCCCTGGCAGTGCCTTACACAAAGGCATACAGTCCATTTGGATGAAGGAAATATCAAGGCCTGAGAGTTGTAAATATGATCAGATTCTAATTACCCATCATGGTAGAAAAGAGGCATGAAAGGGGCAGGTGACCTCTTCAGGAATTCACAGGCTTCCTTGAACAAGCTCACTTCTCTAAAAGCCAGCAAATCAACTCACTTGGATTCATCTTTTAACAACAGCTTTAGTAGCAAACAGAGAGCTGAAAATTAGAAAGATTAAGAAGCTAGAAATTGGGGGCGCCTGGGTGGCTCAGTCAGTGAAGTGTCTGCCTTTGGCTCAGGTTGCAGCCCCGGGGTCCTGGGATCAAGCCCCGCATCGGGCTCCCTGCTCAGCGGGGAGCCTGCTTCTCCCTCTGCCTGCTGCTCCCCCTGCATGTGCTCTCTCTCTCTCTCTGTGTCAAATAAATAAATAAACAAAATCTTTCCAAAGAAAAATAGAAGCTAGAAACTGGCTATTCGCACAAAATGAACGGATTCATAGGTCTTAAAGTAGAATCCTTAAAGCAAGATTTTAATTTGGCCTCAGCTGGCGTTTGCTAGAATTTAGCCACGGTGCCGGTGACTTGGTTTGTGCATGAACTTAGGGATGTGTTGGAGAATCAAGGCTAAACGCAGGGCAGCCCTAGGTGGGCTGGGATTTGGAGGGTACAGCTGCAGGAAGGTTCTAACTTTCTTTGGTGAGAGTAAGCTCCTTGAGGTCAGAAAACATGTATTCCCTCACTGTCGAGCCCTGTGCCTGGTAGGTGAAATTCTTAATCTGTAGAGCTGGTCCTTTCAGGATTAGCAGGAAAGCTTCTGTTGTCTCAGCCCACGGTAGAGAGGAGAGAGGAGAGAAAGAAAGCACACTCACTTTTCTCTTCCCATCTTTATCCCATACCCCTCTTCCTAAAAGCAGCTACCACCAAGTGACCTCTCTCCCTGAAGCCCTAGAAGGCGTGACTGAGGCACAGGTAGGTGCGTGTGCATTTGGCCTTTTGGAAGGCAGTGAAGACGGCTGCTTGCCACGGGCTGTAGTTGACATCTTGGGTGAGCAAATTGTAGCTGCCCCATACCCGAGTCCTAAAATGCCCTGGAAAATAGTCTGGGCTCAGAACCTAGTTTTGTTGTTGTTATTGTTTTTCTTAAGATTCTGTGCTCTATTAATTGAGTCTTCTCTGTGGATTTCTGGGACATTCCTAGGTAGGGCCCCACCTTGGTGGCCTAAGTTAGAAACACACGACTAAGCTCATCATCAAAGTTCCTACTCCACTCCTACTATGTGCAGAGAACTCAGTAGGCACTTTACTGATGAGAGAAAACAAGGGGCTTCTGGTGTAGCTGGAGGAAAGATCGAGGCCATTGCCATGCAAACAGCATCCCGCTGTCTGCTCAGTGGCTCTGTATTCTGAAACCCTTCCTCTCCTTCCACCTATTTGGGAAGTTCTTTCTCCCAGGCTACTGTCACTTGACACAGTTGCAGTTCTTTCAAGAGTTACATCTGACTGTGGTCATGTTCTGCCATTTCCCCATTTTTTTTGCTTTTGTTTTGCTTCTTTCCTTTCATGCAAGTTGTGATTATGTTTCATGACTGCAGGATGGGCTCCTGCAAAGCTTTGGAAACGGTTTCCCAACTCTTCCCTTTGGGCTGTTCAAACCAACTTCATCCATTTTATTAAAATAAAACCTCCCAAATCAAAAAACAAAAAAGTACCTTCCTGCAAGGTTATGGTAACTGGTACCCCCTAGCATGATTCATCCAACCAGGGAGATGAAATTTAATTCAGGTATTCCCACCACCACTTGGTTGTCCAAACCACAAACTTCCTAGAGGTCTTGATTTGTTTTCTTAAATAAACTGTTCCAAGTAAGAATTTATTGACACAAAGAAACTTCTTTCCAAATCCGTGCAAGGTTGGAGCATTGAACCAATTGCCCTAATTGAGGAAACAGGGCGTTGTAATCTTAGATTTATTCTCTTTTAGTATAGAGATTTATTGTTAATATTTTGGCTCAGATATTCTCACATTTGGGCCTTATCCTCCAGGCTTTTCTGTTATTCTCAGAGTATTTAAAAACCAGAGACGTATTTATCTCTAGCACTCATTCCTGACATATGTTTAGTTTCTGCTCTAGGATTTAAGCTTTACTCAGGTAAAGTCTTTTCACCATTGTGGTTATTTAGTAGTTAGAAATACACGGCTGTCTATTCTCTGATAAATTCTCTCCTTCTTGTTATCTGTCTGGTTCAACAAACAATGGTTAATTCAAGGAGTACCTTTCTAAACTACACATTTTCCTGGGTGAAATTCAAAGGAATATCGATCTCACTATGTGACCTTGCCATGATATTTGACTTCTCTCTTTTGTCCTTATTATAATTTAATGAA